GTCTTAGAGACTTGGTGTAGATCATGGCAGTCAAGGCTGACTTGACGCGCATACCGGTATCAAACGCCCTTTGGAAGTATTGGTGCAGACAAATGGTCTGTGTTACCGAGACCAAAAACATCGCCAGCGCGATGGCCACACCACTGATCACGGGCTGAGGTTCATCAGTCCCATACGACTTTATGAACCCTATTAGAAGGCGCAAGAGTTGCGGCTGAACAAAGGCAAGTACGTCGCTTCCGCACTTGATGATTGCGCCGCGCAGGTACGGGCCACCGAACGATTTCATCAACGCCAGCCACAGAGACGGTTTCGACTTTTTCAGCTCTTCCGCCCATTTTTCCTCCAAAATGTCCCCTGTGACGCGCGTGGTGTCGCGCTGCCGCAGATTCCACAGATCATCCTGAGTAAGATAGTTCTTGTAACCGAATTTCATCAATGGTGTCATCCAGCTGAAGGTGAGGACTGCAAAGATATCCGCGTACTCGTACGGACATTCATCCTCAACACCCAAGGCATCGTACGCACTCTGTTTTTTCGGCACCAGGTATTCGAGTCCGAATTCCAACAGCGCCAGACCGAGGCTGACGTTGATGCAAACAAAGTATGGGAGTTGATCCTTAAATGCCTTTTGCGAGACCAGCGATCGCAATTTGACGCCATAAGCGATGGTAAAGAAGAGCCAGTAGAACAGGACAACTCCGTTGGGCTGTCTGCTGCGCCAGTGCTCGTAATATTGTACCGCAAATATCACACCAAGAGACGCGAACACCAGAATGGAATTCCAGAAGCGAAAATCAGCCAAAAAGAGACGAGGAGCGGACTCGGCTTGGATTGCAGCTTGTAGAGCAGTCGTGAAGATCAGGGAGCCAAGCACAGTCTATGAGCGAGGAATGCGTATGTTAGATAATGATCGGGCTCGGACGGTCGAAACATCCATTCTGAGGAGAAGACCTTACCAGTTTAGCATAGAAATGCCAATTCTTCGACACGGGCTGAGGCGCACGCTTCTTCAACAGGAACCAAATGGCACCTGCTCCCATAAGCAAGCCCCATGCTGCAACCAGAGCTACTCCTAAATCCAGGAAACATGGTGTAAGATCGAATCTGTGTTTGCTTATTGGACCCCAACCCTCGACATCACCACAGAAAGGCTGAAGTTTTTTTGAGGAACTGAAGGGAGAGCCCAAAGTCGATGATGAAAGTGGTGCGGAATGGGAATTCCCTAGGATCACCTGGGGGTTGCCATCAAGCATCTTGGTGTCCGGACAAACGACCCAACTCCAAAGATTCCTTAACCGTCTGGCAACGGGAAAGGAGAGGGAATTAACTGATTAAGAACCCAGAAATGCCAGTGATTTCAAACACGAGACTGGCGGGTTTTCTCTGAGGGCGCAAGGAGAATAATTCGAAGCGATAAGAAACTAGCTGCAGCTTGATTACTAAAGGTCCAGGCTTCGCTGCTGCCGGCGTCTCGGAAATAAGGTAGTATCAGTTCGAAGACACCGAGTTGGACTACCTATACTGTATAATTGAGGCAAGGATACTCAATGGGCACCTCAGATTTGAAGATATGTACAGCTCTATTCCACTCAACAGCGTCCAGGTTTCCAACAAACGTTAACTATAATTCTGTCTGTTGCGACTTGAAAATGACATAACCCTTCGTGCTTAATCCCGAGGAAGAAGGCCGGAACCGTGAGTCAGTTCGGAAAAAGTCTTGGGTCGCTTGGCATGACATTTCCTCACCTTCTCCATGACTCCCATCAATAAGCAGGGAGTCAATTTCTGAAGATGAACCCTCGGAGCTTAAGACATACACTGGTATTCTCCGTCTGGGAGGCGAGCATATTCAAGAGAGCTACCCGATTCAGGCTGATTTAAGCTCGCAGCTATCAAGAATGAACTTGCTCTATAATCCATATAAAATCTCTTATCTTGAGCAATTTTCGATGATGTAATGCCTTGCAAGCTGAGGCTTTTCTGGGATCCACCGATCTTCAATTGTTGTTTGACAATCTCTGTACTACATGTTAACACAATATGGTGATGATCAGATTACAGTTTGACCTTTTTTCATGGGATATTGGAAGTATGCAGATCCCGATAGTTGACGCAAAGAATCAGATAATGATATAACGATCTACTATCGAACATGATGACGGAGCACGCAACCGATTTCATATTTAGATATATATCAAGCACGACTCTTAAGGGAGAAACGGTCGGATGATTAAGTATCCTGGGTTCAACAGCGTCCCAATCACAACTACCTAGGACCATGGTGCCTGTATAGTACTTCCATGCGCCAATCAACTCATAGATTTCTTACAAATGATTCTGTATAATGGCCTGGGTGTCGCGCGATCATAGCAATTTACTCGATCGGTCAGCAATTGCCGTATCGGGTCCCCGCTTGAGGTACATGTAACGACTCCTGCGCTACCTAGCCACTATGACTAAGTCTCGTTTGTGAGTCAGTAAGCAAAGCAAAATATGACTGAGCGGACAATTCTAGAACATTTCCATCAAAAAAAGATGATTAGGAATCTTCTTAAAATCATGGTCCTGGAGCCTGCGTTCTCATAATACAGTGGTAGCCCCACACGAAGGCGGTACCTACACTTAGCACTTTGGACACATTTCGCTGCAGTGCTTTGCGACTCCGCGATCGAACATATCGTGGGATAAACAGCCTGACAACGCAATGATCGCAGATACTCCTTTGTTGGAAGAGTTATTGAAAAGACCTCTATATGGTGAGCATTTTTCTTTCATGTTCTAGATTACGTGTGCGCATAGCTGACTTTCATTAGTATATGATCTTCCTCAGGAACTTCTTTCGACTTTAACCGCCAAGGGCGAGGACCAATCCATAGCTGTCGAAGATACTGTCGAGCCCTTCAGAGAACCGCTCGATCCGTCAACGCTAGACCCGGTGATCGCTACCTCCACATCTTGCGCACTTTGCAAAGTCTCCTTTTTAAATGTACAAGAACAACGGGAGCACGTTCGGTCGGACCACCACAGACTCAACGTCAAAGCGCAATCTCGAGGCAACCCTACTTTAGACGAGGCACAATTTGCTAAAGCGGTTGGAGATTTGGATGAGTCGATATCTGGCTCCGAGTCGTCAGAGGAGGAAGACGATGAAGAAGACGGGCAGCTCTCGGCCTTGCTGAAAAGGCAGGCCAGGATATCCCAGGCAGCTGAAGAGGCGGAGGAGTCAGCAAGCAAGAAGCCGGCTGCCAGGAACCCTCTTTACTGGTTTTCAAGCTCTCTGTTGCCATCCAACACATCACTAGGTGTCTATAGAGCTTTGTTCTCAAACGATGAACAAGATGAGCCTAAACACCTCGTTGATTCGTTGCGAAAGAAGCAACTATCGCCGCTACCGATACAAAGACCGAATGCACAACCACAAACGAACGGAACCGCGCCCAGTCCGCATATCTTCATGTGCATGATAGGAGGTGGCCATTTCGCTGCCATGTTGGTCTCTCTGACCCCCCAAATTCATCGCAAACAAGGTGGCGTTGAGGAGCGGCAGGCCTGCGTCATCGCCCACAAGTCATTCCACCGCTATACAACGAGACGGAAGCAGGGTGGTTCTCAATCTGCTAGTGACGCCGCTCGAGGAGCCGCACATTCGGCGGGTTCCAGCCTTCGAAGGTATAACGAGGCTGCTCTGGAGAAGGAGATCAGAGAGCTCCTGAGAGACTGGAAGGAGATGATTGATAGTGCGCAACTGTTGTTCATCCGAGCGACTGGCAATACCAACCGAAAGATCCTGTTTGGTCAGTATGAGGGTCAATTTCTAAACCAGAATGATCCCAGAATAAGAGGGTTTCCATTCAGCACTCGTCGAGCCACGCAAGATGAGCTTATGAGGTGCTTCAAAGAACTTACTCGCGTCAAAGTAAGCCAGATCGATGAAGCAGCCCTTGCAGCAGCAGAGGTAAAACAGAGGGCAGAAGCGGTCAAGCCTCCAACACCACGGCCGCAACAACAAAAGCCCAAAGTGTCAAAGGAGGAGGAGGAAGCTATACTGCATACATCTCAGATCCAAGCCCTAATTCGACGGTCCAAAGTACCGGCTTTGATGTCCTATCTCTCCAAAAACTCTATATCCTCATCTTTCTCGTTCCGTCCATCAGATTCTCCGCAGAATTTCCGCTGTCCTACTCCCTTGCATTTTGCAGCAAATTTGAACTCCCCATCGGTAGTTTTGGCCCTCCTCACAAAGGCAGACGCTGATCCAACGATTGTCAACGGCGAAGGAAGAACTGCTTTCGAGCTTGCCGGTGACCGAGCTACCCGTGATGCATTCCGTGTTGCACGTCACGAACTGGGAGAGTCAAAATGGAACTGGGACGCTGCCAAAGTCCCAGCGGCGGTATCCAAGGAGGAAGTTGATAGTCGCGCAGAAAGGGAGCGGAAGGCTGCAGAAGAGGAAGAGGCAAAGAGGCGCAAGACAGAATTAGAGCGGTTAAAGAAGGAGGAAGCTGCTAGAGCAGCCTCACTGCAAGAATCGAGAAAAGCGGGAGGCCGAGCATTAGGAGCGATGGAAAAGACGGCATCGGAAAAGAGAGAAGAAGAAATGAGGGGAATGACACCGGAGATGAGGTTGAGACTGGAGAGAGAGCGTCGCGCTAGAGCAGCGGAAGAACGCATTCGAAGGATGCAGGGAAGATAATCGGTGAGATGTGTCAACGCTTGATGATTGAAAACTTGCGACATTGATGTCCTGTACGAAATAGAATTGAATGAAACGAAGCTGAAATGAATGATGACTTTTTCGACGCGCAGACTTGACCAGCGACTTTAGTACTATTGCACACAGCACCTGACTTTTTCACCGAGAGGTGCTATGAGCTGCTTCAGACTGCTGAACCTCTTGACAGCGACAAGCCAACCGCCATCATTAGACTTGCATGATTACAGTATTATCCCCAAACCCTCTCTATATTCCCTTACCACTTCCATCTCTACTTTGTATAATGTCTGAGCACCGGCCCTCCTGTCAAGGCTGTTATGTCGGTACACTTCTCGAAGTGGACCCACAGACTGGAAAGACAAGCAAGCCCTTAACTATATCCAGCAGTAACGAGATATACGTCGGCCGAGACCGGAAACGATGGTACCGAGTCTCTCTTTCTATGAATCCTTCAATGCTAATTGGGATATTAGCCAATACGTTGTAAACGATCCATTCATCTCCAACAGACACCTCCGAATCTACACCATCATTTTCGACCAAGAGAATCCTGACGAAGTCGCACCGTTAGTATACGCTCAAGATATCTCGCTGAACGGCACGGCGTGGAACAACTATCCCATGGGAAAGGGAAATGGCAGCTTTCTCCTCAGTGATGGCGATATTCTGAAACTGTCCCCGAGTGTCCATCTTTTGTACCGGCGCGACGGTCACAGAGCAGAGGATCACTTTGACATGCTGCAGAGAGTCGAGATGAGGGTGGGCCTTATTGTCTGCTACAGTTTGAACACATGCTGATTACTTGTAGGTTTTCGAGGATCAGTACACGATTACACAGCGAAAACTAGGATCCGGGGCGTATGGGCAGGTGCATATGGCATTCAACAAAGTGACTGGTCAGCAGCTCGCCTGCAAGATCGTCGACCTCCGGATTCTGAAAGATAGGGTTATTGAAGGGTTTGACGGTCAAAGATCCAGGTTCTTTGGGATGGATACAGACCGCGTTGGTGCGGCGCGCGCGCACCATGGGTACATCGCAAGGAAAATCCAGGAGAAGCTCGAAATATATGACAGGGAAGCCAGGATCTTGGCAAGGCTTAGCCATGTAGGTTTGCTCGAATCCCATCAGAACGGCACTAACGGACAATCTAAGGCGAATATTATTAGAGTGGAAAAGGTGATCCGGTCAAGCAATACGATGTGAGACGAGCCTTTGATGAGATCCAAATCCTGCACTAACTGAAGAAAGCTATCTTTTCCAGGACCTCGTGACCGCTGGCGACTTGTTTTCGTTCATCCAATACAAAGGTGGAAGGCTTGGTGACATCGAAGCCGCCGTCATTGTGAGACAGGTTCTCATGGCTCTGGATTACCTCCATGAGCAGAATATTGCTCACAGAGACTTGAAGCCAGACAATATTCTTATGACGTCCCTGGCAGATGGGAGCAGAGTGGTGCTCACTGACTTTGGATGTGCGAGGCTGGTACAGCCACGGATTGAAAGAATGTCTACGAAAATCGGCACGTATGACTATAGTGCTCCGTAAGTGCAACTAGGCTTCCATACTCTAATAGACTGACTCTTGTCCTAGCGAGGTCCTTCGATCCAGCCGACAAGGCTATACCAAAGCCGTAGATCTGTGGTCCCTAGGTTGCGTGACGACCGTGCTCCTGACCGGGGAACCACCTTTCAGCACTCCATCACCTAAGTGTGGAACCAGTCAGGGCAATAGACAGGGTGCTCTCGACAGCCTCGAGGCAAATTTGACCTGCAACATGATTGGTAAGCGGGCGAAAGACTTTGTTCTTCGTCTCCTGGTCTTCGATGAGGCAAAGCGCATGGATGTGAAGCAAGCGTTGGATCATTGTTGGTTCACCAACCCTGCTCATAAGGAGGCATTTGAAGCGCTCTACAAGCGATCCATTAGGGACTGGAAGCCTCGAGCACCGAAGGAGCCACTAATGGTCGAGCTCCGCGATCTGATTCAAGTGCGCAAGACGAACGGAGATGTCGTTCAGATACATTCCCAAGAGAGTTTGCCAAGCGAGTTTTCTGAATCAGCTCTTCCAAGGGCAAGTGTCGCTCAACAGACAATATTAAAGGAATCACCATCGCCTGAAATACGCAGAGTTCTCTCTCTGACACTCTCTGACCCTGAACTACCGCCACACGGCCAACTAGACGACAATCCACATCAACTCCATGGTCTGGAAAACGATACTGCCGAAATTGATTCAGAAGCAAGGAAGCTAGATACCCTCAAGCAAAGCCTGGAAACTTCAGAGCAATCTGAAGTACTCCGAGGTGAAAGCGAACAGTTCAACCAGTATGAGTGGGCAATCCCATCTATAATCCCAGATTTTATTCCGAAGGCCAATACCGCACTCTTGAAGAATATTAACAATAGCTCAACAAGAAAGAAGCGTGCTGATAACACCTGGGAGGAACTCGAGAATGAGGTCTACGAGGAGGTCAGAAATAGTATCACCGGGAAGCGGCAGCGTTTGTTATATGGAGCAAACATTGTCGCAAACTGGATTTGATTCAGTTCGGCGACCGCCACATGTTGAGAATCTGTCAGTACGGAGGGAGATAAGAGAGGCCAAAAGGATGAGAAAGATGTTTAAGTACCGGCGAAGTAGGGAAATATTCTGAATGAGATTCCTAGATCGTTGATCGCAGAAGAATATCTAAAGCCACTACGGGTTTGAATCTTGGGAAGATATGGCATTCCGATCCATGCACTTCTGATAACGGTGGGAATATAAATTAGTATCCGCATCTTCAGCACAAACCAACCTAAGATGAGCTATCGATCATCATCTTCTACGTACTTTCACTTCAAGAGTTCCCTTCCAGCGAATACCACCATAATGTCATTGAGTCAAGAAGGCGTCCCTTGCCATGCCCTGCTACGTTGAGCGTTCCAAACCACTCAATGACAGCGTCCTGTAAGATCTGGATTCAAGGCTGTAGTATTTTAAGGCTTCGTATTTAATGGCGCAGAGCGTAGAACCATAAAGTACCGTCTACTAAAGTTAGACACTGGGCAGGCTAGATCCTCACATTTAGTGGCTCCTTATATGGCGAATGGGACATTTATACACAGAGAATGAATACGAGGGTAGCTAATTATACTTGAGACCCAGTATAGAGTAGTTACTGAATGGTAATAACAGCAATAAGAACAGTCAACATATGCTGTAGCTGATATAACTCAGAGTTCTGCTCCTTTGCTTTTTGCCGAGCTCTCTTTGATCCATACTGCACGTCGAAGGGCCCTTTTGGGGCTGGCTGGCGATGTTAATACATGGAATTCATCGCGGAGAAGATAAACTCTCAGCAATATATGCTCGGTTTCTCCGTGGCTTAAACACAATGAGCATCTAGCATCGGCAGTGTAATACGTCGTAGGCTGGTCAGCACGATTAGAGGCGAATCTGCACTGTCAGACAAGCGCAGACTTTTGGCGATTGATTATGATAATACACCCATGTCGGTGGTCGCCTGACCACAGAGCTCCTTTACCTTGCACCTTCAGGGCTACTAGACACTCATTCGAAAGTATCACAATGGAGGAGACTGAGACATTTTGGTTCGAGTCCTAATTCTGGAAGGAGGGATATTCAGGGAGGGGGAATGTCTTGCCTCAGGTCAGAAGGATCATCCCTGTTACCAACTGGAGAAGGAAGTAAATGATTAAAGCAAGGCTCCGATGGACCAACCACGCACAAACATGATACTGAATCATGAGACTGAATCATGAGCTATATTCAACAAATAGTACCGTGTGATGCGTATTGATCAAAATCTGCAATGCAGCTCTCAAGGGTTGCGAATGTTGCCATGACAGTCCAGCAACCTCAGTTGTATATGCCACTATTCAAGACTAAATGGGGCTGCGGGGCGTCACTGCATGTCTTGCATCATCGTGCTTGCGGAATGTTGATCATAGTGGTCGGTGAGATGCTGTGTATCAATATTCATTTGATCTAGATCCCTTGCATGTGTCGAGCCCGCCGGAGGCTTGGAGTCGTTTGTCCGGGCGACGGGGAATACGCCTTCGTTTAGCTGTCACCCGAGACTCTACACTGGGTCCTGTCTCGGTTGCCTGGTGATGGGAGTCTTTGATGAGTAAAGAGATGGATATTGTTCATTTGAACAGGGCAGCAAAGAATGTTTCACGCCCTGTGCTCCTTTCGTAGACTTGATTCTCGAGGATCATGAAGCTCTTGTCAAGGATCGCCATCCGGGGGTGCATGTTTTTGCTGTCTTTGTTACGGGCTGTGACAACAGCCAGTTATCAAAGAAATTTTATGCTTGTGGCTCAAGCTAAGCATGATATATGCTCCCAGAACCATAAGAATAAGACCCCATGAGCTGCAAGTTGATGCATTATGGCCGCCAAATGATCAAGCAGCCTCACGACCATATCTTTGCATCAGGCTAGTCCAAGCAAGGTCATTGGTACCCATACAGGGTTGACCTAGCAGAGACAGTGTGTCCCTGGCTGGAATCAAGCAAAGCCTGGCTGTCTATGTCTGGTGAAACACAAGGCTGAAGGGACAAAGGAGAGAGTCACCGCCACCCAGAGAGGAACTGTGATGATTGATCAGAAAGTTATCAGTCTCAAACTCCTAAAGCGAGGTTTATCCACGAGCAAGAATGTGAATGTCTCGGAGAAGCAAGGGACAAGGGTGGGACCTTTGGTGGGTTGATGGCTACTATCGTGGTCCCTATCGATACCATTGATAAGATGGGATGATAGGAGGGTTTTCGGAATCGGTACCCTTGCAGTTCGGCAGGGACTGTCTCTGGTACTACTTACGGCACGTAATGAAGACTTAGGCACTCCATCGTTATTGGCTCAATTGTCTTCATATTAACTAACTTGAAGTGGAACCGTGGCCGTGATCTTCAGGCATCTAAGCACAACGTGCTGTAGCCTGAGGTGTCAGTGTCGTTCTGATTGGCCAACGCGAAGACGCGAACTAAACGCGTATCAACGCGTGTCGCGCCGTGTCTGTAATATTACCTGATCAGGAAACCGCGCGGTTGTCATGGACGAATCACCAGAAAGTGGGAGAAGAAAGAGGACCATTATGGTTGATGGACAGTTGAGAGAATTAAGCAAGTCTACAGGACTTAGGATGGTCTTTATTACTTCTGCTGGAGAGGATTTGGATGAAGCGCAGGATGCTATCCTAGAGGGAAAGAATGGAGGGACAATGTTCCCTGAGACTCCGAACCAGGGCATTAGAGACAAGAGTTCTTCTCCCTGCTAACTTCTACTCAATGTGATTTTATTGATTTTGAGAACTGTCTGGAAAATGTTTTCATGACTGTCTTGGTCCGTAACCTCGACTCATGACACGCTTATAGAATGTCAACGAACATGCACATGCAGCTGCACATGCAATGCTCATCCGATCATTCCGAGCAAGTTCAGTCCAGAAAGCAATGACTTCATGGCGTGTCACCGGATGACCATTGTCAATTGAAGATGTGGCTTGTTGCTCGGGACAATGATGCAAGGTCGAACTTTCATCCCTCTCCCCCTCGTGTCTCAGTTGGAGTTAATGGAAATCATAGTGTATGTAGACAGTGACTGTAGATCAGACAGAGGGGGAATAAGTAGTTCATGAATCTGGTCAAGGCAGCGTTCAATTCGACCAGAACGAGGGTAATAAGACGGGGGCCTCCCTCCTATCGAGGAGACAGACATCAAGGAACAAAAAGCGAACCAAGAGAAAAGGGACACAGAGAGAGGTCTCGGAATCTTTGTCCTTTCAGACAGTGCCCCATCTTTCAATTAATCCTGCAACTGCAAAGAAAGTGCTTGAGGGTTCTGCAGACACTTCTTTATCCATGATTCTAAAAATGTTCTTTGAGTATCCACAGTGTACCTGATATCTGCATTCCCTCCATAATTGATTCATATTTAGCTTATCGCCGCTTGCGGAACTCCACTCTGTGACAGTGACAGTGACTGTGCCCGTGTCCCTCCCACTATCCACCGGGCTCCCTCTCCCCCCCAAATTTTAATTATTATCGCTACATTATTGTTTCCACCTCAACTCCCACAACTCTCTCCCTCCTCCATCATTATTCCATCCACCAACTCAATCGCATATCTCGGAAACTATTCCATCAACAGCGCTCATTTCGAAATCTATCATCCACTCATTTTTATTTTTCTATCGCGTCTTACTGCCGACTGGACCTCTCCCGGCGCAAAACACTTCGCGCCTGGCGCATTCCTCTGGCGCGCGCACACAAAGCCATTCCCTTCATTCAACACCACGACTATCAGATCTATCTATACGATCCTTCATTCCGTGTCTCTTGATACATTTGATATCCAAACTCGCAACTATGTTGCTCCCTTCTGCGCTTCCCTGCGACATGCGACGCTCCTCAACCCGGTCGCGCTTCACACCCAATCGCCTCTTCTCCACACCTCCTCCGTCCGACAACGACTTCTTTCCATCAAGCAGTGGGTTACTAGGAACCTGTCGCGCCCTTCAATCTCTTCTAAGTGGATCTCCCGCACCGCCTTCGCGACGAGCCAAACCAGAACGTCTCCAGAGCCCCTTCCACCTCGCATCTTCCACAACCTCCACATCCTCCACGCGGCCGCGAAAGCCAAAGACACAAACGCGCTCTCGACCTTCCTCTCCTAAACCATCACCAAAACCCTCTCGCGGCGCAAACAAGCGCACGCGCGCCAGCTACGAAGCCGACAGCGACGCAGACTCAGAAGACCACACTCCACGCGCTCGATTCTCCACCCCAAAACGTCGTCGCTACGTCCCCTACGATCTCCCTCTGGGCCTATCCCAATCAGACTTTTATTCTCTGAATTCACCACCAACCACACAATCACCGCCTTCTCCTGTACAGCGACGACAGCAAGGGCTTTGCGACGAGGTGCGCGCACCGCTGCCGCCCTCGCCTTCGCCCTCCTCGCAGTCGCAGTTTGATCCCGACGCAGCGCTACCGTCCATTGAAGAAATAAGGCCAGATTCTTGGACCTCCGAAGATGACCGACAACTTGTGGAGGTTGTCTTAGAAAAATTCCAGCTGTCCAAGCGCGACTGGGACGAGTGCGCGCGCCAGCTCGGCAAGGATCAGGATAGCATTGGGCGCAGATGGGAGGCGCTCATCGGAGAGGGGAACGTGGGATTGCGACGCGGACGACGGATGGTCCGTGGTCGAATCGATGAGAGTTGGCAGTAGCTGCACTCTTTCTCGCCCATGACTTCTGCCACGACTGAACTTGATGCCTGATTCATGGATATACCTTTCTTTTATGCGGAGTGCTATGTATTTTTACGACACCCGTTCGACTCTACTTTTCACCATACCTATGTTTACGACAGTGGTTTGTATTATTTATTATCTTCGGTGTTTGGTTTTCTTATATGCAATCGTCGCGAATTGTCTGCCGGCTTTGGACTGTGATCTATCTTGTCTATATATTTGTACCGATGTATAATACTATCTAACATTTCTGTATCATCATCTGATGTCATTCCTTGTG